GCCGTGGCTGAGTTGACAGCGGGCAGATTTTCAGGCACATAAAGGAACTGCCTTGAGGGGATGCTGTGATCCTTAGTCAATCCACCCCAGGTGATGCCGCATGGAGCAGACTAGCCTGTCCTCCAATCCCTGCAAATTGCAGCTGCGTGAACAAAATAAATTACAGTTGTTTTCCAGCACTAAATTTGGGGAGGTCATTTAGATAACCAGCAGTAGATAACCAGAAGACAGAGTATACAATGAGAGTGACAGACTGGAGGCAGGAAGAGCTTCGCCTGTCCAAGGACATGAAAAGAAGCCAGTGTGACTGGAGCACAGTGAGGAAGGAAGCGTGTGGGGTAAAAGGAGATAGAAGGGGCTGGAGGAGGCAGGCCAAGACATCCTTGGAGGCAGGGCTACAGTCAGCTGACATACACTGGGCTGGATGTACACTGTGCAAAAATACCAGTTCCTGTCACTCCCACAGCACAGGGCAGCCCCTCCAGCCTTGGGCTGCTTTTGTCACATCCATCACCAGCCCCACTATGTCCCACCTGAGGTGCCAGCACAAGCAGGCAGGAGTCCCTCCTCTGAGCTGCTACTTTCTGGCCCCACCTCTTCCCTTTTAATTGCTTCAGTCCTAGGAATGGTAGCTGCTTCCTGGAGTTATTCATATCCAGGCATCTGTGTAACCAATTTCCTGATTAAATCCCCTGTGTTTGAAATACCTAGGGTGATTTTTGTTTTCTAAACTGAACGCTGACAATGAATAGGATGACTCTTCCCCACGCCCTGCTGCTGAGGCCCTTCTCAGAAGCTCCCTGGACTCCCTGGGATTAAAGAGGTGACGTCGCACCATGGGCACCCCCTCCAAATCTTGCTCAGCACCGAAACTAACCTCAGTTCTAATTGGTTGGTGCTTTTGCTGTATAGGTGAGTAAATATTTTGAATAGCATTCCTCTGTAAAATATGGAAATAATTTTAGACTTGATTCTAAATTCAATGAGAGGCCACTAGAAGATTGTAGACAGGGGCCTGACACAATCAAAGTATATTTTGAAGCATACTACTGTATGCTGGAAATATTGGAAAGAGGGAAAAAATGAATGCTAAGAGGCCAGTGAGGAGGTTGTTTTACTTGAGAGAAACTAACTGTGGCCTAGACTAGGCTGACGATGTGGGCATAAGAATACAGGTTCTGGCCGGGCGCAGTGGCTCAAGCCTGTAATCCCAGCACTTTGGGAGGCCGAGGCGGGTGGATCACGAGGTCAAGAGACCGAGACCGTCCTGGTCAACATGGTGAAACCCCATCTCTACTAAAAATACAAAACATTAGCTGGGCATGGTGGCGCGTGCCTGTAATCCCAGCTACTCAGGAGGCTGAAGCAGGAGAATTGCCTGAACCCAGGAGGCAGAGGTTGCGGTGAGCCGAGATCACGCCATTGCACTCCAGCCTGGGTAACAAGAGTGAAACTCCGTCTCAAAAAAAAAAAAAAAAAAAAAGAATACAGGTTCTGGGCAACGCATGGTGGCTCACATCTGGCTGAGGTGGGTAGATCACAAGGTCAAGAGATCGAGACTATCTTGGTCAACATAGTGAAACTCCGTCTCTACTAAAAATACAAAAATTAGCTAGGCGTGGTGGCACACATCTGTAATCCCAGCTACTCAGGAGGCTGAGGAAGGAAAATAGCATGAACCTGGAAGGCAGAGGTTGCAGTGAGTCGAGATTGTGCCACTGCTGCACTCCAACCTGGGCAACAGAGCAAGACTCTCTCAAAAACAAAAAAAGAATCCAGGTTCTGCTAATCCCATTTAGGTCATCAATAACCTTGCTTTTTCTCTCTGTCTCTCTCCCCTACATGAAACACAGGGATTGATCTACAAAGGCTATAAACTGGTAAAGCATAAAAAGAAAATATTTAAAGAGAGGGATTGGGTGACTGTCACCTCAAAGGGCCAAAGCCAATTAAAATGGAAACAGGTCTCACAGTTTCCCTAATTTTTATCAACTGTTAGCTGGCTTCGCACACCAGAAGGTATTCCAAGGAAGAAGGAGGTACTTCCTTCCCCACTCTTCCCCCTGGGAAACTTGCCCAGCATATCAGTCACCAGGTCTTGCTCTGCAAAGTGACAGCCATCGCTGCCTGGGCCAGTGTTAGTAATTCTCCATATTCTCAGTATCTTCGGAGCTCAATTCTCTCCTTCCTCCACGGAATAACTGTTGTCAGAGTTGCCTAGATGATTCTGTGAGCTCAGTGTTCACCCCACTCCTGTCCCATCCTTTTAGGGTTCTTGCACAGCTCTGGCATTTAATTCTGATCCAGAAGTTTCCAGGAACTTACATGTGAACTACTAGGACCTTCCTGAGAACTTGGAACGCTGAGTTCTTTACGGAGGACCTTCAAGGGTAGATATCAACATGTGTTGAAAAGCACAAGAGGCTTGAATGAATAGCTGTGTGACGCTGGGAGACTAACAGACCTCTCTGAGCCTCTGTTTTCTCACCTGAAAATAGAGAAAATCATGCCTACTTGCCTGGGCTTTTAGGCAGTTCAGATGCCATTAGCAAAGCTGTACCTAGCTCACATGAATTGCCAAACAAATAAGTCATCTCATTAAAAAAAAAAAAAGAATACAGGTTCTGGACAGATTTCTGAGGTAAAGCAGACAGTATGTGGGGACTCATTGAATGCAGAGATGAGAAGGAGGCCGCCATCAAGAAGAACCCTAAGGTTTCCAGTGTGAGAAACTTGGGGAATGGAGTTCATTTGCTGAGAGGAAACTCAAACAAGCAGGTGGAGGCAAGGGTCATAAATTTCATGTGGGCCATATTTGGGTAAATGATTATGAGTCATCCAAGGGCAAATGCTGAGTAGATGCTTTGATATTCCAGAAGTCTGGAAGACAGAGATCTTTGCAAGAAATAAAAATGTCCGAGTTATCAGACTGTAGAGATGGTGTGTAGAGCCTTGGAAATGGGTGAAATAATCTAGGAAGAGATTGTGGAGGAGAGGAGAGTCCAGGATTATGCCGTGAGGAAGATCCAGAAGGGAGGGAGGGAGGGAGGGAGGAAGGAAGGACAGGAAGTGTGGTGTGGAAGAAAGATATAATTTTTTTCCCTTTTTTCTTTTTTGTACAGACAGAGTCTCGCTATGCTGCCCAGGCTGGTATTGAACTCCTGGGCTGAACTGAACCTCCTGCCTCTGTCTTTCAAACTGTTGAGACAGGCATGGGCCACAGTGCCTGGAGAGTAGGATTTTCATTGGAAATTTCAGGCAGGCATTGGGATTGCTGCACTATCCTTGGCCCACATTTTCAGTCTCACTCCTGCCTTAGTCTATAATATTCTAAAGGTTGAAATGGAAGAGAAGATGGTGACACATAGAGAGAACGCCTTGGGTCAGACAGCCCTGACCTGGGAACAAGGCTCAGCTGCTCTCCCCCCATGTGACCAAGGAAAGTCTTCTGTTTTCCCACTTTCCACCTCTGTTTCCTTTTTTCTCTCTCTTCTTTAAAAAAATAAAAAATTGTTTTAGAGATGGGGGTCTCACCATTTTGCCCAGGTTGGTCTCAAACTCCTGGCTTTAGGTAATCCTCCTGCCTGCGCTCCCCAAAGTGCTGGGATTACAGACATGAGCCACTGTGCCCAACCCATTTTCTTTTCTCTTTATCAACATTAAAAGAGTGTTGTAAAAATATAATAACTTGATGTGTATAGATATATTGATATACATTCAGATATATATCTGAAATAAATATAGCTATGTATCTGATATATATAAAACATATATAAATTGCTATGTGTGTATATATATCTATACATATTTATAGACAGGTGACAATTATATACAAGATATACATAAAGTTCTCAGCACATGGCAGATACACTACAAATGTTGGCCCATCACACACACACATGCACACACACTCCTGACCACCCTCCTTCTTTCACACTTAAGAAAATAAGAACCAGCTGATTTAAAAGATAATCCTCCACCAGCGCTCATGCCTGAAGAATTGGTACTTTCAGAGCCTGGGAAACCTTCTCGGCCGGCCAGAAGACAGAACCCGCAGTGTGCGGCTCCCCAGCGCATGGCTTGCATCATGCAGATGCCCACAAACCCTTCATTCAGAGAGAGCTGGGGCCAGGGCTGGGCAGCCACGCAGGCGGGAAAAAGCCAGGTCTTGCATGCACTGAGACACTACAGAGAATTTCTGTAGGTGGTGGTGGTGTTTTGTCTCTGGAAAAGCTGCTCTTGACTTTCTGGCAATAAATAGAGAAATAAAGATAGATTATTGATAGATGACAGATAGACAGACAGATAGATAGATAGATAGATAGATACATAGATAGATAGATAGATAGATTTAGAACATATATGGTCCCCAGGTTTCCCAGTGGATATCCTAATTGGCCTCATTGCATCTGTAAATTAGAAATGCTGTTACTCGTGAGGCACTGGGCACCGCAGCTAGGAGGCCACGTATCTCCACTCCAAACACTCTGCCCTGGCAGCCCCGCTATTTCAAACATCCTGTAAGGCTGTGTATCAGGCTCTGTGTCCTGGTTTGGTGCTTTGAAAATATGGTCACCATTTAGAGACACGGGCAAAAGTAAGACATTCTTTTTTTCCCTCCAACTTAAAAGAAAAATAATTTATTACAAAAACACATCATAACAAGCAACATGACCATGACACTTTATGGAAAGAAAAACTTACCCTTGAACCCTGATATACCAAGAATTTGAAATGCTTTCTTTTTTGGTCACACCCTTCACCATTCCTAATTCGTGAAATATTTATGATTGAAACATTAAATAAAAACAAAAAAAAACAGGCGGTGCCAAAGCTGTGTGAGCTCCCAGGCCTGCACTCTCCCACCGTCTTTTCCGACTCCTCTACACAGATACATAGAAGCAAACCGTGGGAGTCCTTCTCCTGCTACCCAGCCCACCTGCAGATGGCCCAAATGAAACCCCCCAAACCCTCAATCAATCACATTTTCCAAACATTACCTACTGTGTGTTCAGCTCTCTTCCAGACACAGGCAGGGTAGGGAGGAGGGATGCAGGAAAGAAATTGAAGACCTGGTCCTTACTCTCCGGGGCGTTGCTATGGCAACAGGAAGGGGGGCACAGAAGGGGTGGAAAAAGGGCACAATTACCAAGAGAGGCCAGGGCCTAACTGGGGTTCTTGCCCCATTTCATGTGTGCAGGATGCAGCTGCCTTCTTTGTTCTTTGTGAATGAAGCCACTGATTGTAGTTTCTGGGGCAGTTTCCCAAAAGTATGTCATGAGAAAGAGGCAAGACGTTAATGTGCTAAGCAGGAAAGAACAATTCTACTGCCACATGAGCTGGGGACGTGAGGGTTAAAGAAAAACAAATAGGTTTCTTTCTCCAGATATCAAAGCATTTACTCTACTCACAGGCAGTGTGAATCTCAACGGGGGCGCGGAAGCCTGCTGCATTTCCCAAGCTTGCGTGGACAGAGGGAGGAACACCTTGAGGATCCAGCATCTAAGAAACACACTTTACAAAATGCAGCTCCAGAATATTCTCTTTAGTGTCTGCTCAAGGACCATATAGCAAATTCTCCCTGATATTTCTAGGCCAAAGGAAGCCATTCCCTCCTCTTCCTCTCATGCCCGGAAAATGGTAGAATTGAAGGGAAACCCATGGTTGGGCTGGAGGGCTCCCTGTACAGAGAGGCTGGGGTGGGGGTGGGGCTCGGTGCAGGGAAGGGAGAGAAGGCAAAGGATCCAGTGAGAGACACCAGTTATGGGGTGCTTTTGCTGCTTCCAGCACTGGGCTCAAGAGGGAGTTTTGCGTAACAGCTGCTGTTGGAACCAAGACGGAGATCAGCTCCTAAACAGTAGGCTCCATGACTCAGTTTCATGGTCACCTTCCTGACATGCAATAGAAATCCCAGGCTTTTCCTGTTTCCTTTTCCTTGTGAATCCCTTCTCCACATCATCTGTGGGAGTTGGGCAGATGAAGTCACGAGGGCTCTGTGGTTCAGCTGTCTAGGATTACTTAGGCTGTTCCAGGTCCCTCCACTTCCTCCCCAAGCTTCCTCCTCTAATTTCCTTAAGCCACTCCATTTTTCCACCCTCTAGTGCAATGGCTCCCCACCTTGGCTGCACATTAGAATCATCCGGAGGTTTTCTGTGTATGGTTGTTTTAATCCCAGTGGCCAAACCTGATCTCAAATGAATGAAATCAGAAGTGAGTGAGGAGTGAGACTCAGGCATCAGCATTTTTATGGCTTCCCAGGTGATTCCAGCTTGTGACATTAAAATCCACTGACAGTCCAAGGGTAGAATTCTCTCATTTAGCAACATTGCTCTCCCAGGAAGCGGGTTCATTTTCATCCAAAATGCAACTCTTCCTTTATTTAAGCCAAAACTCTTCCCTCTAAAGTACCCAAAATCTAATTTACTAGTGTCTCTCAATTATGGTGTCTCTTATTTATGACCAGATAATTTTCTGGAATCATCATGTTCTGTGCTCTAGGGGATCTAGCTTCACTTCAATTTCCCTGAGCATCTCCACAGTCCAATGGATACATTACTGTGTGTAGTTTAAAGGCAGAACATAGTGCCTACTTCCAACAGGCTAACTGCTAATGAGCATTGGCTCTCAATCATTCTTACCAATCCCAGGTTCTTTTACTACCCCCAACTTCACCATCTTTGTGCCATTAACCCACATTTCTGCTAGGAGTCACTCTCCCTGCCCACTCCAGACACTCATCTCCTCCCATTTCTCTTCTCAGAGAAACCTGAGTCTGAAACATAACTCTCCTGCAAGGCTTCAGTCAGTGCTTAGAAGGCTGCAGTGGGCTTCTCTCTGGAATCCTGGGAGATAAACAAGAAATGTCACCTCAGCTAAAATTGAAACTAATGGAATCAATATAAAACAGATGAGGTAGCCCTTCTGTTCTCTTCTAAATAGCCTACCTTAGAAGATGGGCTTCTAAGGCTGGTACAAATGAAAGTAAATCCAACCGAAAGAGCATATGGTTAAAATATAACTGTAGACCGGAGATGGGCTTAATGCAAGAACAACAACAAAATCCAAAAGAGGGAGCCTTAAATGGGGAGGACAAGACAATTCATTTATTTATTTACTTATTTATTTATATAACTCATCTTGAGTTGACTTTTGAAAAAAATATTTATAGAAATAAACTTTCATCTAATATATAAATTCATATACAAATTAATTTCAGTGCATATATATAATTTATAAATAAATATATATGGGATTAACATTCCCTGAAATGTTTTTGGATATTACTGTTCTAAATAATTGGGTCATAAATTTTCAGCATATATAAAAGGCTAGCGCTCAAGTTGTAATGAGAAGGAGATGGTGAAAATGGCAAGAGCTGCTTAGTGTTTATCCAGTACTATTGAGAAGCAGTGTCATGACCAGATGAAAGCTTATCAGGCACTTATGGAAGCATGTCCAACTGTTATGGCTTAAATGTCAATTCTTTAAAGTTATCCAGTCCCCTATGCCTTACTGCAAGGCAATCATCAGATGGTAACTGACTTCTCCTATACTCTTTCCTCCAGGAAGGTCATATGTAAATCAGCCAACTCTGGCTTCCAGGTCTATTTGGAAACATTGTAAAATCGTAAATTAGCTTCCTGGTTTACAAGGTGGTTTGGCTTTAGGCTGGGAATTCAGGTGAGTTTGATATGAGTCAGACCTCCTGAGCCTGATCACCTCTGAGGGAATGTTAGACTCTGAACCTCTCAGGTTCTGCCTGGATCACCATTGTTACAAACCACTAAAAGGTACTCCCCAAGCTTCTCTCTTTGGCATCATCTCAGATATCACGCAACACATATATCATTTGATTTGTCTGAATTCTAAAGGGAACAGGGTTTCTTAGTCCACCTATGTTTTCAGAAAGGGGAAGTAGGTCTTATTGTTAGGCACTTAGTAGTAAAATCCTTGACACTAGGGAACACACAAAATGTAGTACAGGAGGAAACAATCCAAATGTTTATATTTGATAAACGGATGAACAAAATGTGGCATATTTATACAATGGAATATTATTTGTTCATAAAAAGAAATAAAGTTCTGATGGATGCTACAACATGAATGGATATTGAAATATTATGCTAAGTGAAAGAGGCCAATCACAAAAGGCCACATATTGTAGGATTCCTAAATATAAAATGTCTATAGAGACAGAAAGTAGGCCAGGCACAATGGCTCATGCCTATAATCCCAGTGCTTTGGGATGCCAAGGTGAAAGGATTACTTGAGCCAAGAAGCCTGAGGCTAACCTGGGCAATATAGGAAGACCCCATCTCTACAATATTTTTTAAAATAAGCTGGGCATGGTGGCATGGGCTGGAGCTCTAGCTGCTCAGGAGGCTGAGGCAGGAGGATCACTTGAGTCCAGGAATTTGAAGCTACAGTGAGCTATGATTGCACCACTGCACTACAGCCTGGGCAATAGAGCAAGACTCTGTTTCTAAATTTAAAAAGTTAATTAAATAAATTTAATTTAATTTAAGTAAATAAAGTAGATTAGTAGTGGCCTAGGGTTGGGGGAGGTGGGACAGGGAGAAGGGAAAAATTATAGCTACAGCATCATGGGGCTCCCTCTGGGTGTTGTGAAAATGTTCTGAAGTTGACTATTGTGATGGCTGCACATCTATGAATATACTAAAAACCATTGAATTGTACCCTTTGAGTGAATTGAATAGCATGTGAATTGTACTGCAATAAAACCCTTTTAAAAAATGAAATGTAAGATGAGGTGATAATCAGCAGTTCATATGGGTCTCCCCTTTGGGATTGTCTTTCTTTTCACAAAGAAGGAAACCCAAAGGCACTCATGCTGTCAGAGTTCTCACAGTAGTTCACAGAGGTTATCTGCAGAAGCTGACGACCCACCCTCACCCCACAATAGAAAAAGGGGTTGTGAGCAGAGGAATGCTGATCCCTACCTCACACCTCTCTGCAGTGCTTATAACTCCAATGTGGCAAACACTTCACAATCAGAAGAAACTAAAAAAATTTTCAGTAAAACCAGTAATCCAGATTTCCAAAATATGCATCCAATCTGCATAAGAAGATTTATCATCATAGAATTTCAGGGCTGAAAGATTACACAAAATTTTAAATGTTAATTTAATTCTCTTACTGCGTAGGCACAGGGTGTTTGATGAGCTCCGTCCCCACTGAGTTTCAATCAGGATATGGTGCAGAAATTTCCTCTGTCTTCTCACCCCCAAACCTGCCTAGGGAGTGTCTACTGCCCAGGGTCATTTGCCTTTTCTTTCTCTCTCCTCTCCTTTCCCCACAAACTCCTCTTCTCACTTCAGAAAGTTTAAAATTGCCTTCCTGTGTGGCAGGAAATTGAATTTATCATATCCTACATTCTTTTAGCTTTTTGGTTTATAGTAGAAAATTTATGCTTGGTCCTCTAAGCTCTGTTACTAAATATTTAAAGAAAAGCTTTGGGAATTTGGAAAATATGTTATTTTTCTCTCAAGTGTCTGGCTCTTGCAATTCAATGTGTGGCTTTCCCAATTACTATTCCTGAAATGGGCATTGAGAATGAATTCTGGTTGTCAAAATCTTAACATTGACTCCTTAATTCTCATTGTATCTCAACTATAAAAATCCCAATCCTCCTTGAGGTACTACACCTCTGGTTGAATATCTGGAAATAATGTACAAATAAAAACATAGTACCATTTACACATCTAAAAATTGACCAACAAAAACTTTCTACTTCAAATGTGCTATGATTCTATTACTTTAATCCAACCAGACTTAGGTCTTCAGTGTGCCTACCAAGGGAGTAGGCCCCTACCACCACCAATATTTTCCATTCTTCTCAGAAACCATGATACCTCTTCCTCCTTTCTCCCTTCACTATCCATTTCCTCCAAGTGGTTGAGTACTGGTCTTCTACTCTCCCAATGGATTGCCAATGATAGAAGAGAATGGTCACATGGCCCCTGAGTCCTGTGGCACAGGCTAAATCAGGCCTATAAATTCTCTGAAAACACTTGCTTTT